TCACAACTTCAAGTTCTAAAATCCTACAAAAAATCAAGTTTTCTAAAATTCATAACTTAAAGTTCTAATATTCTACAATAATTCAAGATTTCTAAGGTTTCACACCCTAAAGTTCTAAAATCTTACAAAAATTCAAGTCTTCTAAAATTCATAACTTAAAGTTCTAATATTCTACAATAATTCAAGATTTCTAAGGTTTCACACCCTAAAGTTCTAAAATCTTACAAAAATTCAAGTCTTCTAAAATTCATAACTTAAAGTTCTAATATTCTACAATAATTCAAGATTTCTAAGGTTTCACACCCTAAAGTTCTAAAATCTTACAAAAATTCAAGTTCTCTAAAGTTAACAACTTAAAGTTCTAAAATCCTACAAAAAATCAAGTTTTCTAAAATTCATAACTTAAAGTTCTAAGTTCTAAAATCCACAATAACTCAAGATTTCTAAAGTTGACAACCTGAAGTTCTAAAATCCTACAATAATTCAAAATTTCTAAAGTTCACAACCTAAAGTTTAAAATCCTACAATAATTCAAGACTTCTAAAGTTCACAACTTAAAGTTCTAAAATCCCACAATAATTCAAGATTTCTAAAGTTTACAACCTAAAGTTCTAAAATCCTACAATAATTCAAGATTTCTAAAGTTACACAACTTAATTAAAGTTCTAAAATCCTACAAAAATTCAATTTCATATCTAATTTCTAGAATTTCTAAGTTCAAGAATTTCCAAGTTCAATAATTTCTAAGTTCAAGAATATAATTCAAGTAACCCAATTTTCAACAACAACATAATACATATAAGCACAAATACAATGGCAAATTGAAAAATTCAACTAATCTCTAACTTCTAGCTTCTAATTATTTGTTAGTTCTAACTTCTAATACTTAATTTACAATCATATTTAAAAATCCCCAATTTTTCTAACTTCAACTTTCAAACTTACTAAATTCAAGTACTTCTAAGTTGTAAAATTCAACTAATCTAATTTCAACTTTCATATACTATCCAATATTTTTCTAACTTAAAAGTAATCTAACTTTCATATACAATTGAATGTTTTTCTAACTTCAACCGTCAAACATACTAAATTCAAGAATTTCAAAGTTGGAAAATGCAACTAATCTAACTTCTAACTTTATAACTTTTAACTTGTACTTATTTGTTAGTTCTATCTTCTAATACTCAATTCACAATCATATTAAAATAAACCCCAATTTAGAAGAAACCCTAAAATCAAAAATCCTCAATTCTCTACCTAACTAACAATAATCAAATATACAAATTAACAATTGAATAACACAATTCATCAAACTAAAACAATATACTGATTTATAACAAATCAAATATTACTAGAATTGAAAAAAAAACTAAAATTAAACCCTAACCTTAACAAGCTAAGGAAAAGAGGCAGTGGGGACGACGGGTGATGACGCCACTGGGGCAAGGCAGCGACGGGACTAATGCTCAAGGAGAGAAGGGCGACAGCGGCGTGGGGTGGCGTGGGGCAGCGGCGGCGTTTGGTTTTAGAGAGATAGGAAAATGGGGGGAAAATCCGCTTTTTGGTTCAACATAATTTAAAAAAAGCGACGGACAGCGTCTCTTTGTCCGTCGTTTTTAAAAATATTTGACTAAAAAGCGACGGACTAAGAGACGTCCGTCGCTTTTTAAAAATATTTGACTAGATATTTTGACCAAAAGCGACGGACTAAAAGATGCCGTCCGTCGCTTTTTTAAAATGTTTGACTAGATATTTTGACCAAAAAGCGACGGACTAAGAGATGTCATCCGTCGCTTTTTAAAAAAACTATTGATAAAATAAAATAAATTAAAAATGACGGACAGCGACGTGGTTATTGTTTAATTTATAAATAATTATTTTTATTAAAAAGCGACGGACGGCGTCTATATATATTAAATAAATAATTATTAATTATATATATATTTAGCGCAAAAATCTACAAAGCGATGGACTAAGAGATGCCGTCCGTCGTTTTTTGTAAAATAATTTTAAAAATAATTATGTTTATTAAAAAGCGACGAACATTGTGGCAAATGGCGTCGCCTTTTGGAGCGACACAGTCCGTCACTTTTTTATCCGTCGTTTTTTGGCAGTATTTTAGTAGTGTTTGATGCCTAGTAATGGATAATTTTTAATTTTGTGACAATTGATTTTAAATTCCGTTGTGGAGTTTAGAACTATGCCTTGTCAAGCATGTTTGGTTGGTTCATTGTAGCCGGATCCGTCTTACATTTCTCTATTATTTTACTACCCGTGCTTGGTTATTGCGCTTGTTATACGAGGAAAAATATTTAAATTGATTTGAACTTTTTAGGCAAAATACATTTTTGAAAGAGTCACCACTTATTATTTTGAACAAATTAAGAAAATTTAATATTTAAAAGACTCTAATAGAATAAGTCTTAAAATGATTAGTGAAAAGGGTAAGAGGTTCAAATTTCCACTTTGAGAAGGTGTTAGGACTCAAAATGGCATCTAACTTGCCGTTCCGACGATTTGAAAACTTATTTGACTAACTTTTGGGGGAAAAAAATTAAACGTAAATAAAGACATTTAAAAATCATTTGTAAAGAAATTAACTTAAAGAACTTAAAATAATTTGGAAAGAGTAAAGTTTATCAAAAATGACTAAGTAAAGAAAGTTATTTAAATAAAATCATTTAAATTGAGTAAATCATCATAACAAACATGGTTTATCTTTAAGGTATTTATTAATTTAATCTAAAGTTAAAGTTTGAATTAAGCAAATCAAATAGCACAATAATATTTAGGGAAAGAAGACTAAAGAAAAAACTTGGGTCTTGGATCCTAACTAACCTTTTTTAGGCTGTTGTTACTGCTGCTGAAATGTTGGGATTTGACCCATTTCTCTGTATCTCAATGTATACAATCACTGTATATTTGGTGTATGTCATATATATATATATATATCTGATGTATATTGAGTGTATATCCTACATATCTCCTGTATATGGACTCGTATATCAGCTCCTTCTATTTATATTTGCTTCCATTTGCCTTTGTATATCAGCTTCCTTTCCAAACTCAACACAGTTGCTTCCAATTTTGACATGGCAGACTCGAGAAGAAACAAATTTGGGCCTCTATGGCCCATTCGAAATGCAAAGGGAGAGAGGTCTATTGTAGACCCAGTAGAGCAGTTCACACTTTTCACAGTGAGCAAATGGGGTAGAAATTAGTAAGTGAAACTTTAATCCAGTCTATAACTAATAAATTAATTTCCATTTGAATCAATCACAAGAATACATACAACTTTGTACTTGTTTTCTTTAAAAAAAAATGAATGGAAGCAAGACATATCTCTTACTTATGCATTCATTTTTAAAAGGCAATAAAGAAAGTTAATTAATTAAGTAAAAATTACATAATTCCCATGGTGTTAAGAGTTATTACATCTTATCCCTATTCTTTTCTAAATTACAAAAATCCCTTAAAATTATAGGATCTCGGATACATTAGGAAACCTGCAGATACATAGCTCACAGATTGCGAATAATACATTACTTAATGGGATGGATGTATCTAAGATGGAAGAGATGTATTCAAGATGGATAGGGATGTATCCGAGATAAGAGGGATAGATCCGAGAGGAGATAGGGATGTATCCAAGAGGGAATTTTTATAATTTTTTTAAATGGTAGGAAATTTTAGAAATCATGATGACATAGGATGTGTATTTAAATAATTTTTTTCAATTAGGTATGCACAAATAATGATTTTTATCCTTCATCACAGTTAAACTAACAAACTCATTTCTACCAAAAAGCTACTGTCTTAATGAAATCAAAATCAAACCTCACATTGTATCTAACTATTGCATATCTAAATAATAATAAATAAAGTAAATACATGACACAAGAGATCTGAAAATCATGCTAATGATGCAATTAATATTATCTGAATTAAAGTTACTCATGGCAAAGACCAAAAAATAATTAATAGGAGAGGACAAATCATATTTCAAATAGAAACTTGGAGAGGCTAAGAATTGCTAATGAACTAAAATCTGGGAAAAAAGACTTAAATCATAAACTAAATCACATTCGATATACATGGTTACAGATTTTGAAGAAACTAAAACAGAACATTTAACAAACCTAACATCAAAGGGAATTGGGATTCAGATACCAAATCTTGAAGCAAGACTAATGACTAAGGAATTGATCTTAAAACCAACAAACAAGACTAATGAATAAGAAATGAGTCGTTACATCAATATAATTTACAATTTGAAATTGTGCTCTTAATTTAAAATTTTGAGTAAACAACCTCACAAAAATCAATGGCAAGTTGATAGAAAAGCACATGTGACCATCCCATAGATGCATCTTTTAAAATCATATAATTGCAAATGGTCCACATAACAGGTGAATGAATCCATATTCACTTTTCTATATTTTCCAAAAATTCAAGGGACACACCAAACAACCTATAAAAATTAAATTGTAAGTTGTATATTTCATTCGATGACATGCATTATATTTAATATTGACACACCAAACATAAAGATAAATGGTTTATAACATGCGGTCTTGATTGTCCCAAATTATTCAATTCAGGAATTGATTAAACATAAACAAGGTGCTGATTAGAACAAAAATAAATAAATAAATATATGATCGAGAAATGCAAGTTCAACGTGAGAAAATTGTTTGTAATATGTAGGAGGATTATAATAAAGACTAGTACACCACAACATGTCCAATTTTATTTTTTATTGAACTAAAACTTGATCAATAGGTGTTGCATTTTTTACGAATATCTTTGTGATAGTGCATTATATATGTTATTTTATAAACTTTTATTATTTGGCATGATTGTCTAAAGAATTGGAACAATTTTAATAGTTTTACCGCTTATCAGATTTTTATGTTCATGAGAAGACATACAACATGGAAAGTCCAAATTACATGTCCAAACAAAACTTCAACTTCATCTCAGGATTTCATACAACATGGTTAAACACATCCTACTGTGGGCATATATGGTACCATCTGGGACAATAATTAACTATACAATAGAGTGTACAAGTAGTTTTACTTTTATTAAGTTTTATACGTATAAAACAGGTAAGATCAATAAACCAGTCCTATGGAAGGGAGATTGCAACAGTATTAACCTTAGATATTTTAGAAAGGTATCAACTGCCTAGTTTGAAAGCATCAACAAAGAGACCTAGAATAACACCTGCTTTCCAGTAGTTCACCATTGAAATCAGAGACTGCAACCTCCTGGATGGAAGAGAAGGAGGTTTTTTATACATCAGCATTCCGATTCCCTCAATTGCAGCGACAACGACTCCTGCTACTAATACATCCCAATCACCAGTCTGTCCTAGGATTGTAGCCAAGGCATTTGCCGTATAAAAACCTAAGAGAAGCAGAAATACTTTCATAGGAAAATTTTTCCGAGCTGAATTAAGCTTCTCCAAGAACTGTCTGCCTCCAGCACCTACTATCCTCCCCAAACGGGTTCCACCTAGATCACGACCATCACCATTGAGGCCATCTTGATCATCACTACTGGGAATGCTTCCTGTATCCAGAGCAAATGCTATTCTTGAACCATGTCTTCTTGTCCAGGACCTGTTTTTGCAAAACAAGGGTCTGTTTTTAATCATGTGAAAATGAAAAACTTACAAAACCAAGACAAATAAATAACTATTTTTACCACAAATATATCTCGTTGATTTTCTCCATCTCAGTCCCTATTGACTTAGTAAAGCACGTGATCCCTCACTCTCAATTTCTCGAACACACATCCAGCATATATTTTTTTTTATGAAGTGTTTTATAAATCACAAAGGCGTCAAGGAGATGCATAGTTACAAAAGAGGAGTTAACAGCTCATACAAACCTATCATCAGTCTAAAGAGCTGACAAATCCAAAGGTCTATTGTAAGACTAAAGGGCTAATAAGATCCAAAAAGGAATCTGGGTTATACAGTGGCAAGATTAACCTAGCTATAAAGAGTAGTCAGGCATCTGGCCTTGAGATTGGAACTGGTAGTTACAATACCATCAAAACATCTTTGGTTCCTTTCCAACCGAAAGCACCACAAAATACAAGCAGGAACCATGGACCATAGACCAGATTCTTTTTTTGAGATGAGGGTAACTTTGTATTCACAAAAGATTCATCATCCAAGAGATGATGAATTGGAAACTTACATCCCATAGTGTGATGAGCACACCTCCATGATGGTAATCAGATTACAAGTTTCCTAAGAAATCAACTAATTCTACCCCATCCCCCACCAAGTCTTGTTTACACCAAAAAAATAGAAGACTATTACAGTTTGATTTAATCCTCTGAAAATTGGTTTTTTGTCCTTCAAAACACCTAGCATTCCTTTCCTTCCATATAGACAAGGAAAACTAATAACATGCTAATAACCAAACAACAATAAAATAACCAAGTAAACCCCACATAAGCATGAAACACG